AATGAAAAATTAATATTTAAATTCATCTATGTATGTATGTCGTTTCAATCAAAAAGGTATAAGGTATTTTACTACTTCAATTTCAGTATTTCAATGATATGTTTGAGACTAATTAGAGAATTAAACTGGAGTTCAAGTTGAGAACTAGCATTTTCTCAACTTGAGAAACAGTCCGTTTTTCATACAAAGAAAAATGCCCTTCTTGAGGTACTTGAGGTATTGAGAAACAACGTTGGAGATTTGAGAAATAGCTTAGTTCTCAACTTAACCTCAAGTTGAGCTCAAACCTAAATGTTCATTGGGAGGTATCGTTTCAGCCCTATATATTCAAAATACCACGTTTCCTAAAGAAATGCCAAATAGAGCATTTTGCATTGATGACGATTGATGGGTTAGGTTATTAATATTTATCTACTTCATTTTCTCTAGTATGGCGGTCCTAAGGAAAACGAACTGGACGTGAACATTTTGTATGAACACTTGTTGCGGCACTCGGACTATCTTTTGAAATTACAAAACTACAGACGGAAAATCTCAGCCTAAATTTGTGTTAGCTTATAGACGTCAAGAATAAAATATGTACATACATACATATGTATTATATAGTAGGTAGTTATGAATAAATTATGGTCCAAAATTTTTATAAAGAGTCGTTATTTAGATACATGTGTACATATTTACGTATGTATGTACAATTTTAAATGTATAGTTATTCTGTTTGTAAATATCTCAAAAAAATATATATTTAAAAAAAAAAATCCTAGGTACTAGGTACTTATCAGGGACCGTAATCATTATGAGAAACATAATTATGATTTTTATCTTTTCGCTCAGAGATAATAATTATTGTTGAGGACATGGATCCAAACATAATATTTTCTAATTAGAATACTATATAAAACTACCTTAATATATTTCTTAAAAATACTTACCTTAAAATGTAGATTAAAATTGAACTAATTAGCTTCAAAAAATTAAGTTTGGATAGTTACCAAAATGTATACTTACCATGTATTTATAACCTACACGTATGTGCATATGTATGTACATTAGGAATGTTAATCGCGGGATCCCGGCCTTTTTTAGGTCCCGATAAACCCAGGATTCTTAGCAAATAATCCCGGGATTTTCGGAATTTGTAATTTTCACTGATGGCAATAATAGAAATTCCTTTTTTTGACAGTATTGGCTATATTTCTTTTTTTATTTAATAATTAATATTTTGTTATAAATGTCTAGCTCATTATACATATAAATAGGAAATTTTACACACAAAAATCAATTTATTCGCGAAACTATAGGCCAAATATAGTTAAATTGCGTTTTTAGTTTTTCACTCTGACGTCAGTAATTCAAAAATTATTTTAAAAAATTCATTGAAATGTATTTAGAGTTTAAATTAAATAGGAAACTCTGTAGAATTTAAACAGATTCAATTTTTTGGTGCATAAGTACTGGTAAGTATTGAAAATGTCCTTTTAACATTTTATCCTTGAAATTTCGCAATATTTGTTTTTGAAAAATTATATGTTAAGGACTTATATAAACTCGATAACATCCTCGAATTTCATCCTTCTAACTTTACAAGCTTAAGAAATTAAATATTTGTCCTTGTGAATGCAAAAAATTTTAATTTTTTAAATTCTAAAGAAATTTCGTCTTTCATTTGGTACCCATATTTTTAATCTACATTGCATTGATATTTTTAAATAATTTTTGGAAGTAATCATATCTTTGAAATTTCAAAGTCCTTTAAAAAGAATCCTGACGTCAGAGAGAAAAAATCAAAATGCCACTTTAAATAAAAAAGTAGGTTTCAAACCCATTTATTTATTATTTATTTTATGGTAGGAGAACTTCTCAAGCAATATAGAAGCAATTTTTTCGATTTAAGTTGTTGAAAAGTAATGAATATCTAGATCCCGGGACTAATCCCGGGATCCCGGGATCCCGGGATTGTGATAACGACATCCCGAAAATCCCGGGATCTTAAAAAGCGGAAAAATTAACATCCCTAATATACATACATATGATTAGCTACCTAACTCATATTAAAATAAAAGATGTCAAATTAATCGTTCGCTACACCCTCCCGAAGACGGACCTCTAATAGCTCTCGTGCTTATATAAATTTACTTACTCATTGTAAAAATAAATAAATATTGAATAATTAAAGACATTAAAAACGAAAACTCTACTTTTTTATTTCAACGGAAATAATAATTATTTTATTTATTCGCCAAAGCGTGAATAATTATTATTGAGTTTTAATTTTCCTCTTAGAATAATGATAATATGAAAACTTAAAAATCCATGTGATGCAAATAATTGAAATTTTTTAAAAGGGATACTCCGCAAGGGGCATGGTCATTGGCGTTCAACACGATAGATATGTACTAGACGAATTGGAAGGTGAACCTGCCAAAATTGCAGCATATGCAGATGTTATCTAGCGCTGACCGACAAAAAGATGTAAGCGACATTGCAACTAGATGCTAAAGAAACATTAAGCGGGAAGTAACTGTCCACAGTCAGCTCACTTACGAGCCAAGCACTACGAGAGATACGTCTTTGGACACTGATGTGGGACTTGTATCAACGCTGCAAAACAGATCTGGTACTCTTCACCAGAAAATACAAGATTGCGTAGTGGGTTAAGTATAAGATGGATGGTGTGACCGTCCAATTACTTTGGAATAATACACGATAACAAGCTATCGCTGCGCCTCAACCGTTTGTGGCTCAACATGGAGGAGAGGGCTAAGGAGACCTAAGTCGCGTTTAATGTTTGCAAAAATATCGGGTCTGGACCTGGTGGTTATTGCCTTTTCTTTCTCATTGGATCTACACGGGTATTAGTTCGGTGGACAGCAATGGAAAAAAAAAATTTAAGAGTTGAAAGTGTATATATGTATACGGTGACCACCCGTCCTTTCTTTTAGAGGGCAGTCCTTTATTGCAACCCCCTGTCCTTTACAATTTTATTCAAAATAAAAGACGCGTTTTGTCCTGTATTTGAACTCTGGGTTTTAAAGATGTCAACTTTTAAACAGAAAATATGAAAAAAAAATAAAAATGTCCTTTATAAAATATAACGAAAACCTTCGATAGTTTGTTTCGCACCCCACTTAAGGGTTTATATTTAATCGGTAATCTCTGTACAAGCTATAAATGATTGCTATTATAACGGGCCATTTTCTGCTGCCATCCCACGACTTTAAACTGGCTCTGACCAGTGATAAAATGTAGGAGGTGCACGATGAAAGAGGACAATGTTCAGACTGCGGATTTTATGCGGCACTCGGGATGGCCATACTTTGCGATAATGGAAAACGACAAATTAAACAAAAAAAAAAGAAAAAACGGTCCACAAAACATTTTAGAGTAGTATAGTCAAAAATATTTTTTCAAAAATTTTGTTTTCATAAAAAGTTTAATAACGCGATAAACTTTCATCCGATTTGTGAAAATAAACACTAGTTTTTTCGTTATTAAATTTAGTTTTACAATCAATTTACGACTAATAAGGTTTTCTTATAAAATAAAGCATACAAACGTCACCAAAAAATAAAAAAGGCGAAAAAAGGAGAAAAATATGTTTGCTGGGCAAATACACACAGATCTCTTAAGGTTTCTTTATTCATATATATATATATATATCGTTCGAAAGACCCAAGCTTTTCTTTTTAAACTAAACTGAAACTTGTTACATAATCACCTAAGCTACGGGCTTGTAAGTGCGCAAATCTACGAAACCCCGATTTTTAACGGTAAATCAAGATTTTGTTTCGGTGTTGGACAAATTTCATATTTCGATTATGGTTTTACTCGAAAAGACGTACCAGAAAATATACATAACTTCCCAGCGAGCGATCATTTAAAAATCATAAAATAATTATGATTTTGATCCAAAAAATAAAACTCAACAAATATAAATCTGTGAAAATTACAACAAAATTTTAAGCTTTACGTGAGCTGGACCGATTTGAAAATACCTCCAATAATGGAGTTTCTTATGAATAAAAATAGTTTTAGTATGTACTTTCCGAAAAAGATCACCTCAGGTGATAAAACAGATTCCGCTTTAAAAATTTTCATACAAATATTAAAAAAAAAATGTTTCAACCAAATCATAATAATGAAATTTTAGTTTTAGTTTGTACTTTCCGAAAAAGATCACCTCAGGTGATAAAACAGATTCCGCTTTAAAAATTTTCATAAAAATATTAAAAAAAAAATGTTTCAACCAAATCATAATAATGAAATTTTAGATGCTGCTTTTGACCTTTTTTCAAAGGTAGGTTTAAACTTTAATAACTCAGCCAAAACTTTACCCTTTTAGACTTATGAGTACTGTGACCATTCGTTCGTCGGATGTTCTTTAATTTCCGTCCATTTTTAACGTGTGTTCGTTAGCCAAAGATTTATAATTAATTTTCCATTTTTAAACGTAATTATGGGAATTTTTTTATAAAAATGTATGTTTTTCGTAAAAAAATACGTAATTTACTATATTAACAAATAAGAACTTGGTATGTGAAGCCACTACTTGGAACAAAGCTACAGACTGGGTGGTTAGTGCACCCAAATGGTAGGAGAAGTACCATGCGAGGGAGATGGCGAGCCTGTTCCAGTTGCGCTGGCGGGCGTAAACACGAATGCGGAGGATGCCCCCGTAGGTATGGAGGTCGAATCCGTCATGTCGGACAGTGACATCATTGCTGGCCCTCCTTCAACTGCGGGACCGGTCATCTCTGTTGGCCCGCTGTTCGACAGGGAGGAGGAGGAATTGCTCCTTGCGTCCGTTGGGGATGGGGCCTGCGAAGGGGTGCTGGAGAGGATTTCGGAGGATGAATATTCTTCAGATCAATCTTCAGCACTCTAAGGCGGCGTCAGCCAACCTCTTAATCCGCCTTGAGCAAGGTGAAGTTGATGTAGCCCAGATCCAGGAGCCGTGGCTGAGCAGCTGCAATAAGGTTTCTGGTATCGGGACGGGGGCTACAGACTGGTGGTGCAGCGGGACGCAGGTAGACCTCGATCCTGCATGCTCATCAGGAAGGGACTTAATGCTTTTATTCTGCCTCTTTTCAGCGATGGTGACATTGTGACGGTGAGCCTGTAGGGTGCAACCGGAGAACTCTGGTTGATCTCCGCTTATATGGCGCACGAGGACGGGGTGGGGCCACCTCCGCGCTTAATAAGGAATGCGGTGGCAGAAGCTAGACGCAGGAGGGTCCGCGTTGTTATTGGGTCTGACGCGAATTCCCACCATACGATTTGGGGCAGCTCAGACATGAACACTAGAGGTGAGTCACTTTTTAACTTTAGTCTAAATGAAAATTTATGTATATGTAATAGGGGAAGCGACCCCACTCTTTTAACGGCAAGTAGAGAAGAGGTTTTAGATATCACGCTGGCATCTTCTGATATAATGTCCCGTATATCTGGCTGGAGAGTCCTTAGTGACCACTCCTTCTCCGATCATCGGTACATACAATTTGCTTTGGACGAAGCGCGTCCTAAGCACGAACCTAACAGGAATCTGAGGAGAACAAACTCATACTGCAGAAGTCTGCAGGAAATGCTTCCGGTTGCGCCCGTGAGCGGCGGGACCTTGACTGAAAGCGAAATTGACGATTTAATTGGTGTGTTCACCACCTCATGTAAAAGGGCCATTGATATGTCTTGTCCCCAGAGTTACCACAAAGGTAAGAGCAAACCGCTCTGGTGGTCGGAGGAGCTCTCCGATTTCAGGGCCTCGAGCAGAGGCCTTTTCAACAGGGCCAGGAAGAGTAAATTAGCCTCCGACTGGGCACTGTATAAGATTGGGTTTGGGATATATAAGTCCGAGATTAGGAAAGCGAAGAGGACGTCGTGGAGTGTTCAAGGTTTAGGCGAGTTCTCTCTGAGAATCCCGCTCCCCTGGGATACATCAAGGATGAGGGTGGCGGATGGGCAATGGCAGCGAGGAGTCTCTTCGGATGCTCCTTGATGCTCATTTCCCCTGCAACCCGGATCCGGGAGGGATGCGGTTGGGGACGTCGATCTCCGAGACGAATGTCTCGGAAATCCTAACCGTGGATCGCCTTCTGTGGGCCATTAGCTCGTTCAAGCCCTTTAAGGCCCCGGGCCCCGATGGCATAATACCGGCGCAACTGCAGAAGTCTGCAGAAGTGTCGTGCCA